CAGGTTCTGTTGATAGATTGTTTTCTCATGGCTTCGAGGGTGATGAAGCTTTTGGGCCTATTTTTGAAGAATTACCCCTTGCTTCCCTTCCAGTTTCAGTTTCCATAAACCTTCCCGTGTCTTTACCTGATGCTACTCCTGCTGTTATTCCCGTGGTTGCTTCTGATGTAGAGGCTGAACCATCTAGCAACATGAGGGAAATGAAAAGAGTTTTTGTTGAGGTTACTGAAGGTGGGAACTTATTAAGAAAATCTGGTCAAGCCGACGTGTGGTTGAAACCTCTGCTAGGCCCCATAGAGACGAAGAAGTTAGAAAGTAATAGCTCACTCACTTTAATGAATGATATCTTTCATTCTTCCTTGAAGGTGCAAGATTAACTAGATTTCCTTTTCTCTTTCTTATTTATAAATCTTCCTCCTTTTTTGCAGATCAACTTGATTGGCATAAAGCTTATGAAAAGAGTTTCTCAGGCGGACCAATAAGTTATAGATTTGCGCACCGAAGCTGATAACTGAAAGGAACAATTCGAAGGTCTTCAACTGGAAAAAGAAGTTCCGGAGGAAAAGAAGAATGTTTTGAAATATCAGATAAGAGTGATTGCCGATGAACTAGCAGTTGAAAAAGCTTCCTCTTGCGAGGTTGGAAAGGATAAGGATATACTTGAATCCTTCTTTGCTGAACAACTTTCCAAAGCAACTGAAGAAATAAGGAGTTTGAAGGAACTCCTTAATCAAAAAGAAGTTTATGTTGGAGGATTGGTTCAAACACTTACTCAAGTTCAGGAAGATCTCTGCGCCTCTGCTGATAAGATTCATTTCTTGAAAAGTTCTCTCGCTCCTTTGAAGACGGCTTATGATGCCACTGAAGCAGAAAAAGAAGAGCTAAGAGCTGAGATTGACCAGTGGGAGAAGGATTACGAGATTCTCGAGGATAAGCTATCTTTGGATGTGAGCTGGGCTTTCTTAAACACTCGCCTCGAGACTCTTATTGAAACTAACCAGGAAGGTTTTGACCTTAATGCTGAGATTGCTAAGGCTAAAGAAGCAATTGATAAAACCAAGCAACGCCAAAGGTTTTCCTCACCTGAAGACGAAGGTCCCGAGGGTGATGGACATGGACTTGCTCCTGGTAAGGCCGATATTCAAGCCTCTTCTTCTCAAGTTAATCCTTCTTCTCCCGTTGGTGATGCTCTAGTGGATGATGCTTCCATTGATGATACCCCTTAGTTTTTTCCTGCTTTTTGTTAACTTTTATTTCGTTGCTTTTCCCTTAGCTTAACAACTTTTTGGAATGTTGTTTTTGGGAAGGTTGTTTTTTGGTTATCCCTATCTTCTTTTGGGGTTTAAATGACAAATTAATACCTCTGCTTTTTCCAAGGCTTAATATATATATATATGTTTTAGTTACTTTTACCGCTTATTCTGCTCTTTGATATTTGAGATTTTTCCTTGCATTTAAAAATGCTTTAATAGTTCGTGACTTTAAACACGGGTTTTTTAATAAAAGAGGGCCCTTTTATGTTAAAAACACTGATGAAGATGACGTCGCATCTTCATATTGGTGTAAATATATGAAAGACGAAGTAGACGTGAAAGAAATAATTTAAGGAAGTTTTATGCTTTGAACTTTCAAATAAATTTCGTACAACATTTTCATAATTATTCGTACAACACTTTCATAATTGCTTTCTTTGTAGCAAATTTTTAAGATAAAAAATCGGTTCTATTATCCCGTGATTAAATTTTGGCCTTAACCTAAAACTCGTAGGAACATGGAACGTATCTTGTATCCTTTTCGCGAGTTCACACCTTCTCAAGGTTTCTTCAAGGTTTTTGATTCAGGTTTTTTGGCTCTTTTGCTTCCTTGTCTATATGCATAGTTCCCCCAGTGTTAGAGCTTTGAAGTATGAAATCTCAAACACCGGACTACTCCTTCTTTTTGGTCCATTCCCTGAAAAGAAAAATACAAACGGGACTCGGAGATATACATTTAGATGATGACTGCATAACCCTTTTTTCCATCAGAAAGGTTGCAACCTAGACCGGGAATAATTCAGTATTCCGCGTGTCATTCGGGTTTAATATCATCATTTGGTATGGGCTAGCTTTTTGTCTATCATCTAAAATTATAAGTAAAATTCAAAAGGATAAAATAAAATTGTATCCGAGTGATACCTGCCCAACGGTACTTCCTTTGTCTAGAAATAATACTTCCTTTATCCGAGTGATACCTTCCCAGTTTGATAGTAGTATTTTGCCATCCATGGTCTCCAACTCATATGCTCCCTTTCCAGCGATACCTCGAACCCTGTAAGGGCCTTCCCAATTTGGACTTAACTTTCCCGAATTAGCCGCTTTTGTTGATTTAAACACCTTTTTGAGCACGAAGTCCCCAATATTGAAGTATCTCAGATTAGCTTCCCTGTTGTAATATCGCTCACATCTGTTTTTTAGCCTCCATCCTTATTAATGTTGCTTCTATTCTTTCTTCTAGTAAATCCAAATTCATACACATTTCTTCCTCATTTGACTCCTCAGTAGCATGTGTGTATCTCATACTTGGTTCACCTATTTCTATTGGAATTAAGGCTTCAGTGTCATAGACAAGTTAAAATGGAGTCTCACCCGTACTTATTTTTGTTGTCATTCGATAAGCCCACAATATCCCTAGTAGCACTCCTAGCCATTTGCCTTTTGATTCCTCTAATCTCTTCTTCAAGTTATTAATAATAATTTTGTTTGTTGACTCAACTTGCCAATTGGCTATAGGATGGTAATGTGCAGACGTAATCCGTTTAATCTGCCAACTCTAAAAGAAATATGTGATTTTCGTGCCTATGAATTATGGGCCATTGTCACACACGATTTCCTTTGGAACTCCAAACCGGCAGATAATGTTTCGCCAAATAAAGTCCCTGACTTCCTTTTCTCACACCTATTGGAAGGCTCCTGCTTCTACCCATTTTGAAAAATAATATGTTAAAACTAATAGAAACTGTATCTTTCCTTTAGCATGAGGTAACAGACCTACGATATCCATACCATATTTCATGAAAGGGCATGGCGAAATAACTGAATGTAACAATTCTGCTGGGCGATGCATGTTATTAGCATATCGTTGACACTTATCACACCTGGCTACAAGGTTTTCTGCTTCTTCTTCCATTTTTGGCCAGTAATATCCTGCTCTTATTAAAGTTTTTACCAATGATCTTCCCCCAGCGTGATTGCCACAGTGCCCCTCATGTACTCCCCTCATCACATATTCTGTTTGTGAAGGTCTGAGACACCGTACTAAAGGTCCACCGAACATCTTTCAGTATAAGTTTCCACAAATTACACAATATTGGGAGTCTTTTTGGCGAAGTAATTGTGACTTCTTCTTTTCTTCGGGTAAAATTCCGTACTGCAAAAAGTTAACAAATTCGTTCCTCCAAACCCAAGTTAGATTATTAAAATTTACCTCGTTCTTGTCTTGGTCGAGTGCCGAATGAAACAAATGTATTACAATAGCATTTTCTGCATTTATTATTTCGGCAACAAACGCGAGATTGGCCAACGCATCTGCTTGTGCATTCTCCTCCCTGGGTATTTGTATGGCTTTCCACGATTGAAATTGTCTGACTAATTCCCGTACCTTTTCCATATATTGTTGCATTCGTGCCTCTCTTGCTATGTAAGTCCCCTACATCTGGTTAACTACTAGTTGCGAGTCACTTTTGATCACAATCTGTTCTATACCAAGTTCTCGTGCTAGTTCTAAATCTGCAATCACAACTTCGTACTCTGCTTCATTGTTAGTGATGGGATAATATTTTATTGCTTGTCTTATGACTTTCCCTAAAGGCGGAATTAGAACAATACCTAAGCCCGCTCCTTTAACATTCGAGGAACCATCGGTAAATAAAATCCAAGTTCAAGGGATTAGATCCGGTAAATACCTGCTATTCCTTTTGTGCTTTAGGAACTAAATTCGTGCTAAAGTCTGCTACGATGTTTGCTAAAACCTGCGATTTTACTGCAGTTATGGGCTAATTTATGATATTATACTCACTGAGTTCTATTGCTCACTTAGCTAATCTCCCAGATAGTTCTTATTTATGCAATATATTCCTTAGGGAAAAAACATGTATTACAGAGATAGGATGGCATTGAAAATAAGGTGTCAATTTTCTAGATGCCATAATTAATGCTAAAGCAAGTTTTTCTAAGTAAGGATATCGAGTCTCAACATCTAACAAAGATTTACTAACATAATAAATTGGATATTGTTTACCTTTATCTTCTCGTACCAACACTGCGCTTACCTTTATCTTCTCGTACCACTACCCATTGGAGATTTTCTTCATCTAGAGGATCCATCTTTATTTGATTATAACCTGAATATGCATCTAAAAAACTTAACAGCTCATGTCCTACGGTAGAATCAAGTAATTGATCTCTATGCGGTAAAAGAAATGAATATTTAGGACAAGCTTTATTTAAACCAGTATAATCTACGCAAACTCGCCATTTCCCATTCTTTTTTGGAACTACCATAGTATTAGCTAACCAGTCTGGGTACTTTATCTCTCGTATTGACCCTATTTTCAAAAGCTTTTGTACCTCATCTTGGTTCACTTGATTTTTGACGGATCCTTGCTTCCTCCTCTTCTGCTTGACAGGTGGGTATGGTGGGTCCTCATTCAGTTTGTGGGTCATCACCTCCGGTGGTATACCTGTCATATCTGGATACAACCAAGCAAAGCAATATGCGTTAGCTTTTAAAAATTCAATTAACTTACCTTTCATTTCTGGGCTTAGATTTACTCCGATGTAAACTTTTCTGTCTGGCCAGTGTATAAATAGATCTACAGCTTCGAGTTCTTCAATAGTTGTTTTGATATTTTCATTTTCTTCTGGCTCTTGAATAACATGGGGTCTTGAATCAACATCCGTCTGTCCTGGTATGCCTCCAGTTGAGGTTAGTTTTACTACATTCTCAACTGAATTCTGTAGTTGCTATTCCCGGTCTGCAACATCGTTCATCGTGCTTGTAACCACCACTGAATTGATGCTTCTAAAAGCCTGTTGATCTCCACGGATTTGTTGAATTCCCCATTGTAAAGGAAACTTAATAACTTGATGTAATGTGGACAGTACAACGCCCATATCGTGAATCCATGGTCTTCCTAGAATTATATTATAAGCTATGTCTGCATCTATCACCTGGAACTTTGTATCCTCGGTAACTCTCTCTGCAAACGTGGTAAGCATTACTTCCCCTTGTGTGATAACACTTGAATTATCAAATCCAAACAAAGACCGTGCATTTGGTATCACCTTGTCATTAGCTTGCATTTCATTCACCACCCTTAGTAGAATGATATTTACGGAGCTACCTGGGTCAATCAAAACTCGTTTAACGTTAGTATCGTGTACAAGTAGAGATACTACCAGCGCATCATTATGAGGAATTATCAAGCCATCCGTGTCTTCATCATCAAATGTTATACTATTTTCATCCAAGACTTGGCGAACTCTCTTCCCATGAGTGACCATGACTTTTGACGTCTTTTTTGCAATTGTATATGTCACACCATTGACCTCATCTCCCCCGGTTATTACATTGACTGTTCTTTATAGAGATAGGGGTTTCAGAGGATCTTGTCTATTCTTCATATATGACTGTCTACCTTTCTCGATGAACATGTTAGTTAGATAACCTTGCTTCAACAAATGCTCGACTTCTCCTTGGAGTAATCTGCATTCTGCTGTTCTATGGCCATGATCGTTGTGAAATTCACACCAGAAATCTGGACTTCTTTTGCTCGGGTCTGGTCTTATTTCTTTAGGCCACCGCACCTTATCTCCCATACCTCTTAAAAAAGCAACTAACTCGGAGGTATTGACATTAAAACTGTAATCTCCAATCCTCGAATGTGTATTGGAGTCGTTGCTTCGTGCATCACGTTCCTTTCTAAATCTAGATGAAGAACCCGCATCTTTTTGCCTTGATCTCGATTCAGATTGAATGTTTTCTTATTTAGATCGAGAATATCGCCCTCCAGGTGTCACGACCCAAAATCCCAACCTGTCGTTATGGCGCCTATCTCGATACTAGGCAAACTGAAAATCTCAATAAATCAAAACTTCTCTTTAAGGTTGAAAATATAATATTTAAATACAATACAAACACTCCCCAAACCTGATGTCATTGAGTACATGAGCATCTAATATGAATACAAGTCTGGAAAATATAGTCTATAATAGGCTGAGACCAAATACAATAAACAAAGAGATAGAGAAGGAGAGACAAGGTCTGCGGAACACGACAACTACCTCAAAATCTCCTGAAAATCAACCGCGCGAAAGGAGCAACACCCGCTATGCCCGGGAATGACTGGATCTGCACACGAAGTGCAGGGTGTAATATGAGTACAACCAACTCAGCAAGTAATAATAATAAATAAGGAATTGAAGATAGTAACGAGTTACACAGTTATGGTTTATTTCCAGTAATTCCAACAAAGAATAGACATGCTATCAAATCTGGCAATTTAATGTCTAATCAATTTTTATACAATTCTTGTTCATGTAATTTGTATGCCAACAATCTTTCAGAGATTTCACAATAATGACAGATAGCAACTAAGTGCAACAACAAATGGAAATCAAGTACAACCTCTTAGGACAACAATCACTAACTGGTCTACCAGCCCTCATCACTCACTCTCAATGGGTACCCGCGCTCACTGGGGGGTGTACAGACTCCGTAGGGGCTCCTACAGCCCAAGCGCTATAATTTGCACGGACAACTCACGTGCCATAATATAAATATCTGGATCCGCTCAGCCAACTCACGTGCTATAGATAATATAAGGATCCGCACGACCAACTCACGTGCTATAGTATAATATAAGGATCTGCACGGCCAACTCACGTGCTGCACGAACAACTCACGTGCTATGATATCAATATCTCACAATCAGGCCCTCTCCCTCTCTTAGTTATAAATCTCTCTAGTCTCTCGTGCTCTCATTAATCATGAAATCAGCCCAAACAATAATGATATGATGTATCAATAATAATAACAGAGACTGAGATAAAATGTGCAAGTAAAAACTGAGACTGAGTACATATAGCATTTAGCAGGCAATTCAACAAGTACGCGACCTATGTGGGTCCCAACAATATTATCACATAGCCTATGCATGATTTCTAACATGATTTGCAGTCAAATTTTTATCAACACATGGAGAGCATATAACTAACAACAAATTATTCAACTTTATAGTTTCCCAGGACGGACCAAGTCACAATCCTCTCGGTGCACGCCCACACGCTCGTCACCTAGCATGTGCGTCACCTCCAAAATAATCAAATGATACCAAAATTCGGGGTTTAATACCCTTAGGACCAGATTTAAAACTAATACTTACCTCAGAGCGTGAAATTCTTTACTCTGCTATGCATTTGCCTCGCAAATCGGCCTCAGAATGCCTCGAATCTAGTCACAAATAATTCGCTTCAGTCAATAAAATTTATTGGAATTAACTTCATAAAAAATGCTAATTTTCCATACAAATACAAATTTTAGCTCAAAAATTGCATGTGGGGCCCACGTCTCGGAACTCAACAAAAGTTACAAAATCAGAAAGCTCATTCAACCACGAGTCTAACCTTACCAATTTTTTCAAAATCCGATCCCAACTCGGCCCTCAAATCTTCAATTTTAACTAAGAGGATTTTCAAATTTTTCCAACTTAATTCGCCAATTAAATGATAAAAACAATCATGGATTCAGGTAATTTAACCAATATTGGGTTAAGAACACTTACCCCGTTGTTTTCCTTGAAAAACTCCCATAAATCGTCTCTTTCCGAGCTCAAATCCGTCAAAAACTGAAAATGGGTCCCATTTTCAGAACTTAAACTCTTTTTCCAGACCTCTCTTCTTTGCGAACGAGACAGATCCCTCGCGTTCGCGAAGCACAACTCCACTACCCACAAATTTAACCCTTCGCGAACGCGACCGTGGCTTCGCGAACGTGAAGCTTTACAAATCTTACCCTTCGCGAACGCGACCACGGCTTCGCGAAGGCGAAGCTTTACCAACTCAGACCTTCGCGAACGCGTAGAACAAGGACCCGGGGGTCCCCAATAGCCTCACTCCTCTTCGCGAACGCGACACCTCCCATGCGTTCGTGATGCACACACAAACCATACCTTCGCGTTCGCATCATCCCCTTCGCGGACGCGAAGAACAAAACCTTACACTCAGAAAACACACTTAGTGAACGCGAGGTCCCACTCGCGAATGCGAAATAGAAAATCAAAAAAATGCAACAACAGATATCAGCAATCTCACCAAGGCCAAAAATGATTCGTTAACCATCCAAAACTTATCCAAGCCCCTCGGGACCTTAACCAAATATACCAACAAGTTCTAAAATATCATACGGACTTAGTCGAACCCTCAAATCACCTCAAACAACGCTAAAAGCATGAATTACACCATAATCCAAGCCTAATGAACTTTGAAATCTCTAATTTCTACAAACGACTCCGGAACCTACCAAATCACGTTCGATTTACCTTTTGTGCACAAGTCATAAATGACATAATGGAGGTACTCAAAGTTTCAGAATCGGATTTCGACCCCGTTATGAAAAAGTCAACCCCCCGGGTCAAACTTCCCAAAAATTTAACTTTTGGCATTTCAAGCCTAATTCCACTACGAATCTCCAAATAATATTTGGGACACGCTTCTATGCCCAAAATCACCATACGGAGCTATTGGAATTATCAAAATTCAAATCCGAGGTCGTTTACACATAGGTCCATATCTCGTCCACTTTTCTAACTTAAATTTTTAATTATAAGACTAAGTATCTCATTTCACTCCGAATTCCTTCCGGACCCGAATCTACTAACTCGGTAAGTCATAAAATAACTATAAAGCATGAATTGAACAGTAAATGGAGGAACGGGGTTATAATACTCAAAATGATCGGCTAGGACGTTACATTCTTCCCCTCTTAAACAAACGTTCGTCATCGAACGAGTTTAGAACAATACCTGGGGTCTTAAATAAGTGTGGATATTTTCTCCGCATCTCCTGCTCAATCTCCCAAGTAGCTTCTCTGACTTGCTAGCCTCTCCACTGTACCTTCAGTGATGCTATGTTCTTTGACCTCAGCTTTCGAACCTGCCGGTCTAAAATAGCCACTGGCTCCACATCATAAGTCAAATTACCGTCCAACTGTACTGTACTGAAATCCAGAATGTGAGACGGATCCCCGACATACTTTCAGAGCATGGATACATGGAATACTGGATGAACATCTGATAGACTAGGTAGCAAAGCAAGTTCATAAGCCACCTCCCAATTTTCTTAAGTATCTCAAAAGGCCCAATATACCGAGGGCTCAACTTGCCCTTTTTTCTGAACCTCAACACACCCTTCATGGGTGAAATCTTGAGCAGAACCTTCTCCCCAACCATGTGAACAACATCACGAACCTTCCTGTTGGCATAACTCTTCTGTCTAGACTGTGCCGTGCGAAGCCGTTCCTGAATTACTTTGACCTTCTCTAAAGCATCCTGAACCATGTCAGTACCCAATAGTCTAATCTCACCAGGCTCAAACCAACCCACCAGAGACCGACACCGTCTCCCATATAAAGCTTCATACGGAGCCATCTGAATGCTTGACTGGTAGCTATTATTGTAAGCAAACTCTGTGAGTGGCAGAAATTGATCCCAAGAACCCCCAAAATCAATGACACAAGCGCGTAGCATAGCCTCAAATATTTGAATAGTGCGCTCGGACTGTCCGTCCGTCTGAGGGTGAAATGATGTACTTAACGGAACCTATGTGCCCAATTCTCGCTGCAGTGCCCTCCAAAGCAATGAGGTAAATTGCGTACCCCGATATGAAATAATGGACACCAGCAAACCGTGTAGGCGAACAATCTCGCGAGTATAAATCCCAGCCAACCGCTCCGAAGAATAATTAGTACTGATTGGAATAAAATTTGCAGATTTGGTCAACCGATCTACTATCACCCAAACAATATCAAACTTTCTCAAAGTCCGTGGGAGTCCAACTACGAAGTCCATGGTAATACACTCCCACTTCCACTCCGAAATTTCAAGTCTCTGTAGCAATCTGCTCGGTCTCTGGTGTTCGTACTTTACTTGTTGACAATTTAAACTCCGAGATACAAACCCAACTATATCTTTCTTCATCCGCCTCCACCAATAGTGCTGTCTCAAATCCTTATACATCTTTGTGTCGCCTGGATGAATAGAGTACCGCGAATTGTGAGCTTCCTGGAGAATCAGCCCACGCAAACCATCTACATTAGGTACACATAGCCTGTACAGCATCCGTAATACACCGTCATATCCAATAGTGACTTCCTTGGCAACACCGTGTTGAACCGTGTCCTTAAGGACAAGCAGATGTGGATCATCATATTGGCGCTCTCTCATGCGATCATATAAAGAAAATCGAGAAACCACACATGCCAAAACTCGATTCGGCTCGGAAACATCCAATCAAACAAACTGATTACCCAAGGCCTGAACCTCCAAGGCTAAAGGCCTCTCTTTTACCGGTAAGTATGTTAAGCTGCCCAAACTCTCTGCCTTACGATTCAAGCCATCGGCCACCACATTGGCCTTTCCAGGATGATAGAGAATAGTGATTTCATAATCCTTAAGCAACTCCAAGCACTTTCGCTGCCGCAAGTTAAGATCCTTCTGTTTAAAAAATGTTGTAGACTTCGATGATCGGTATACACCTCACACTGGACACCGTACAAGTAATGCCGCCAAATTTTCAAGGCATGATCAATAGCTGCTAACTCA